ATACCAGGTTATCTATGTGTCATTTGCAATGTTAATCCAGCAAGTGAGCAATCAGTTAGGTCTCACACATGGGATAAGGTGACGGTTAAAGGCAGGAGTCCCACTGGCGCTATGATGCATAGTTAAGCTTTGAGGGCGTCAGTCAGTAGGGTGGAATGAAAGCTACTCAAAATAAAGCTGCTTTCTAGTCTAGCAAGGCTTGCTATTTTTGTCACTTGTGTTACGTATTGCACTTTTTAAATAAAAATGTAAAGGCTGACTCTGGTAGAGTAGAAGGTGTTTCTCACAGAGAAGGAAGCCTGGGCTAAGGATGGAAGGACTGGGATATGGGTCCTGTTATGGAAGGTATTCTGATTCAGGACACCAGATACTGAGGGTCAGGATACAGGAGTCCTTCTGTCTCATGCTGCCTGTTTGTATGACCTCGATTAGGACGTCCTTCTGTTTTGTGCCTCTCTTTTTCTTCCTGGACATTGCTGCACTGTGGTGCTCTTTGCAGCAGAGGAAGCATTTCAGAAAGTAAATTCCTGTAGAAAAATAAGAGTGCAGCAGCCCATGGCAGCTCCACAGATCAGCAGTACAATGCAGGCAGCTAACCACCTACAGAGATGGCTGTTGTCAGCCGCTGGTCAGGGTGGCTACACATGAGACAAGGCTGCCTTTAAGTCAGAAAGCAGGTTATGAGCGAGTTCCTCAGCTCTGACAACCCTTCCAAAATGAGCCAGCATTTGGGAATTGATCAGTTCTCAAGCTACAGTGGGAAAGGAGACTTTGCATGTGTCTTGCATAGTAGCGTTGTCTTGTGGTGTCTATGATATTCAACCTTCTCAGTTATTGCCTGAGCAACTAATGTGAGGTCTGTTTTCTCAGTACTCCCCTGTTCTATAGATCCTGGTTTGTGTTTCAACTTGTCGCTGATTTCTGTGCCTCAGCTCCAATAGGAGCCTTTCTTTGCCTTTCATCTATACCAGATTGAGCAGACTCATGACAACATCCCCATTTTCTAATTTAAATGATTTTTTTATATATATATTTACCCCACAAGTAAAAAACTTTCTGTAGTGCATCTCTGACATCCTGGGATGCTCTGACTTAATCACTGGTGAAAGACACATCTCTGCCTTCTGGAGGCCTCTGAATTTGATGGGAATCTCTAGCAATCAGACAGTATTGCAGGGATGGCTGAATACCCCTTCTTGAGCTCTGCCCAAGCAGGACAGCACAGTAACAGTGCAAGAAAAGTGTGGTCTCTCCTTCAAGCTCTTTGGCTCTTGTAAGGAAGAACACTCTTCCCTTCCTCAAGGCTAAAATAAAAACAGACTTAAACCAAGTTAACCACCAGTCATCAGTCAGTGCACTTCTCACTCACCTAGCAGGATGAACATTTCAATTCTGGTTATTTCCAGTGAAACCAAGAAAGTAAGAGGTTATTGGGACACAAAGCAACGCTCCTTGGTGCTTGACATTTCTCTGTTGTGCTTTCCTCGCTGTTGTTTTTCGTCATTGTGAACACTGTGTTAGCTTAGCAACCCTTCAGTGCAGAGCATCTGCTCTGGCTCACAGCAAGGGAGCTGCCTGCAGCCTGGCTTTGCTTTAGGGTGCTTGGCATGCTAGAGTAGGTTGCCTGTGTTTGGCTGATTTGATTTGCTCCTAACTAGCTAATTCTGCTGCAAAGGCAGGCTGCCCTGCCTTGTGTTTTGCAGCAACAGCATCTTAACAAGGTTGCTGGAGGAGCCTCACTTCAACATTACCTCTTCACCTCTTTCATCACTCCTCTTGCCAGTGAGCTCTTCTAGTCTTAAGCTGTGTGTTGAGAGAGAGCAGTAATTGTCTATATTTGTTTGCTGTGTTTCTTACCAGGAGATCCCAAAACCCTGTATATGCACAGAGGTTTTTTACCTCCTTTAAGTGTAGCAACTGCTGCCTGCAATGTGGTGGCTGCTTAAAAGAGCATTTCAGACACAGGCATTGGAGTTCGGGGGGGGATACAGAAAGGCATTTGAACAATGTCTGGGCAAGGACTCAGCTTTGTAACTGGGCTAAAAATTGGGCTGATACCCAAGGTCCTCAAAGAGCATCATGGCAGCTTAGCCAGCCAGAATAGCCAGATACTGCTCTCTTCTAGCCAGAAGGGATGCTGCTTGCCTGTAGGTATAAGAGGCACCTGGGAAATCATTATCCTTTCCTGCAGCTCCCTAACGGTGTCTGTGCAGGAGTCATGTGGGAGGTCTCTGCTCTGAGACAGTCCCCATCTCAGGAGCTGTTCAGTTCCCAGTTCTAGCGAGTAGGAGCACCAGCTTATTTAAACAAGCTTTCATTTGCCTTTAAGCCAGGGAAAAAGGACAGAAACAGAAAAGACTGTGTTGTGAGCAGCTAGGTTTTACAGACTGAATCTCTGCCTTTCTGGTGAAGTCTGCCTTTTGTGTGTAACCTTCTTGAACAAGTGTGGACTCCCCACTAGGCATTGAGGCTGAAGCTGATGTCTGGCTCTGTAATTGCTGTTGACCTTTCTTTGTTTTCATATCCATTGGGAACCTTTGGGAATAGCTAACCCTTGGTATAGTTCTGTATGCTTTGCAGCAATGGGATGATCTACTTCATCCCTCTCTTCAGAAAACCCAGGAGCTACAGAACTACCTGCAGAGTTAATGCTCATTGGGTGTTTCCTAGTGCCAGAGACAAGAGAAGAAAATGTAATCAATTTTTAATTTAGAGGCACTTTCAGACATTCCCTTTGCAAAATGATAACATAGGCCCAGAGCCTGTCCCAGTGCAAATCAAGGAAATCCCATTTCCCAGCTGAAGAAGATTAAATATCTTCTGCATCCTTGGCTGCCCGGCTGTTCCAGTGACCTGAGGAAGCATTTGGGGCATCTCAACTCTGTTCCTCTGTGACCCTTTACCAGCTCCAGACACTCTCTCAGTGAGGCCCAGGAGGGCACCTTCCCTGCAGTGTGTTTCCTTGCAGTCAGCACTTTGTCCAATTTCAGACCTTTTCTCTTCCTTTGTCCCAGCCCCATAGACAGGCACAGCAAGGTGCGGTGGGGGAAGCTGCTCTCCCACCCCTCTCTCTCCTCCTCAGGAGAGAAACCGCTTTGAGTACCTCTGGAGCTGCTGTGCCATTTTTTTTAAGCCTTCTTTTTTCTCTTCTACTCCCCTTTTCCTTTTTTTTTTTCCCTTATATCACCAGCTGGCCTAGATTGTAATGTGAGACCCCACCAGCTTCAATTAAGGAGCAGATGTGACTGAAGAAATGGGATAGCAGCTAGGGATGGAGATGACACATTCGTGGCACTAGGTCTAATCAAACAACTTCTCACGTTATTCTCACCATGAGGTGGGAGACGTGAGCCAAAGGCAAGTCAGCACTTGGAGCACTTGCAGAGACACATTGCTAGCAAAGCCATCTGTAATGAGCTGACCATGCCACTCATCTCAGTCAAGGGCTGCTTTTAATCCACTCAAGTGCAGCAAGGGGCCCAGAGACTGAGAGCTGAGAACACGTATCTTGAAAACAATCAGCCATGTCAAACCAGGGCTGCCAGGTGGAGCGGATGATTGTAAGCTGCATATCCACAGATGCATTTGTGCCCTGGGACACTATGCGTGCCTACCTATGGGACAGCATGTGCACCGCCTTCATCTGTGGTGAAGATGGGGATGTCACTGGTGTTACAGAGGTGTCAGTGAGTCTTGCTGGGGGTCAGGCTATGGGAGAGGAGAGACCGGTGAGCTGGAGCCCTCCTGCAATGGCTGTGTTCAGGGCAGCAGGGATGCTAAATAACCCATGGTAGTTGTTGGAGGTGTTCATGGCACTTCAGATGCTGGGTGCTGCAGGTGTTTGGGCCTGGCTGTGCTTGGCAGTTCTGCGGACCTTTAGAGGAGGTGGGTGCTCTGCACATCTGTAGTGCATAGAAATCATCTCTGGAAGAGCAGGTGCTTTGAACATGGAGAAGGTGAGTTGTGATTGTGCTGAAGCTGCTCTAAATCAGTTCTCCATCTTTTACATTTGGGTGAACAGCTGTTTTGTGTTCAGGAAGCTTTTCTCATTTTAGATGGAGAGCTTCTGGTTATCCCTATGCTGTAGTGTTTTAATTAAAAGTTTAGTGCAAGTGAAACATGTCTATCAGACGGCTGTGGAGACTGAAGTCCTCTGCAATTGCATTAAATAAGGGATAACCTAAACAGTACCAATCCAGACATTCTCCTTGCTCTGCTTCAACCATGCCCAAATTGTGAGATTCCTGTAAATTTTTACAAGTGCTGAAGAACAAGACATGGTAGTCTCCCTTTGCTAAGGAGGTGAACACACATTGCCATTCCCATTCTCACACTACCGGTAGAGAAGCTGACATGGATAGATGTGACTCACCTCCCAACATCAGGGCATTGTTTTCAGATATAAAAATAGGACTCAGAGTCCCTGTAGCTGGTCCCTGATGTGTTGTATTGATGTACTTGGGGGAAGCCCTCTAACACCCCTTCAGGTCTGTAGGGACAGCCAGTGCATATCCCTCCATCTAAGCACGGTGTCCTTGATAACCCTGCCAGACTTTGACAAGAACATGAATTTAACTGATTGGGAGCTTACCTGCCTGCTCAGGGAGTGCATTTCATTCTGCAAAAGAGGACTATGTTTTTTCTGATTAGGATCTGAGGGTTGAATCCAAGCCGTGACACTCAGCTGCTAGGGTTGCACTTTTGGCATGAAAAAGGAGGGCTTGGTAGCTCCTCCAAGCAGTGTCTCAGTGTGGAAGGAGTACTTGCTAAAGGCCACCCCTACCTCATAAATAGGAGGGAGGTGGGATGTGGCCACAGCCCAGTTAGGAGATGTCAAATGACTATTGCTTTTGGTTTGACGGATCCTGTTCCCACTAGAAAATAAATATCCCCTTGGAAATCATATGTGTCTGCCTCGTCAGAGGTGGTCAGGGTGACCGTGCTGAGCGAGACGGTTGTTCCCTGACTGCATCCCTGTCTTTGCTCTGTTCGGTCTCCAGTCCCCCCCGTGGTGGAGCCAGCCTTCCAGGATGTACGCCAAGGCATGGGGCACAGTGTCACCTTGCGCTGCACCATGCTGAAGGGCAGCCCCATGAAGGTGGCCACCTCTGTCTGGCGTTTCAATGGGACCCTCCTGGCGCAGCCCCTGGCAGAGCAGCAGGACTACTCGGAGCTGAAGGTGGACAGTGTCAGCCGGGAGACCAGTGGGACCTACGAGTGCAGCATTTCCAATGACGTGGGAGTCTCCACCTGCCTCTTCCAGGTGTCTGGTAAGTCACAGAATCCACATCAGAGCAAGCTGTTGGATGGGGTCACAGAGGTGAGAAGCTTGCTCCTCATAAACTGGTACCAATAAAACCAACCTCTACTGCCTCCGCTGTACACAGCATTCTGTTCAGGAGGAATGGTTTTCCATAAGCCAGCAGGGAGATCTGTCTCCATCATTCAGACAGATGGACCTGGAGCAGTTAGTGCTAGCCACTGCTACATTTTAACAGTGTTCAACCACTTGCCTGAAAAATACAGGACTTTATATTCAAGGCTGCCATCAGCTTTCAAGCTTGGACAACCTGTATCATTGATAAGTATTGACCATGGGGAATTGAAAAGCTCTCTACTACCTCCAGCAGGCTCCAAACCATCTAATTTCCCCTTTAAAAGCAAACAAACCAAGAAACAAAAACTGTGTTATGTATTTCTGTACCTTCCCTATATCTCCTGTCTGTTTGTGTATCATTATGCTTCCTAGGAAAAACATGAGCTGGATATGGACACTAGTACTCAGTAGATTTGCAGCTCACAGTTTTCTGTGAATCCATCATCCACCATAATAGGATTTCTCTCCAGCACCTGCAACTGCAAAGAGGGATGGCAGAGTTATAGCATCTAAAACCACACATCTGACCTGGCTCCTCCAGATGATCATTAAATCTGCTTTTTTCACGACCCCAAAATTGACTTGGGAACAAGTTTCTAGAAAAGCTCTCCCATGAAGTTGTCTTAATAAGCAATAAATTCAACCCAAATACTGGGGTTTGGATTTGGGGTCAATTTATAATACTTTTCAAGTCAGGGCTGAACAAAGAGAATAAATAACATTCAGAGAGGCCTGATTTTGAAGCAGATCTTTTGTAAGGTTTGGAAAAGCTCAGGTATACTGTAACTCTGAGACGCTCTCAGAAATGGAGGAATCCAAACTGTTTGAGTCCCTTTTCAAGACTTTGCTCTCACCCCTTGAAATTTCCTGGCATTTGTCTGGCAGTGGATTTTTCTTGAGAGCTTTGTCCCTCTTTCCCCTTTTTTCATAACTCTCACATCACTAAGTGATGGCAAACCATATCCCTCTATGAACCATCACAGAAAACTATGTCCCTATCAATTTTGGGAATGCTCCCAGGAATTTCTTGCTGGGAGCAGGAACAAATACTTATTGCCATGCAGTGTGCCATGGCTGTGCCTTAGATAAGAATTCCCTCAGCAGAAGGAAGTTGCATCCACAGAGAGCACTGATCAGGAAAGAAGCAAGTCTTTGTTTTTCTGCATCCCTTCTCTGTTTCCAAGGCATTGATACCTGATGGTAGCTGTACAGCTCCAGACATCTCTGCCTGTTTCCTGGACAGTTACAAATCAATTAAGGCTTTCAGAGCCTGTAGAGCAACCTGAAAAATAATCCAGTGACTAGACTGCTACGCTTGGACTCAGGATTGCTGGAGTTTTAATTCACATCAGCTACAGCCTTCCTGTGTAAGTGGGCAGAATGGCATGGTCTCTTTTTGGTTTTGTTTCTTTACAGAAGGAAGACCATAAACCTTCCTATGTGACAAGGAAGCAGTGACTCATTTGTGACTGTGGGGTCACAAATGTACTGGAAATAGAGTACATGAATCTGCCCAGGATGGGATTACTTTAATCTACGGAGGGGTGATGAGCTTTCCGAGATGTTTTGTAAAGATAGTGAGACATCCAACCTGCTCTTCTTGAGCAAGTTATCAGGCATCCCATAGTGGCCATAACCTGCTCTCCCACTAGCCACAAGCACAGAAGAGCCCTGAAAGACAGAGTGAATAACCTTCAGCTCTTCCCATAGGCTCTAAGCAAAAGAGAAACCTTTCCAGTAATGCTAAAAGTTTCCAGAAAGGAAGTTCTGAAAATATTTTGATGTTCAGCATTTCTATCAAAAGGCCAAAAAGCTTTTTTTTTAACTTCCATTTCCATCTTTGAGTCAATTAATAAGGAATTAATATCATGCAAGATGATGATTATCATCAGTTCTGATTTTATTTCTGAATCCATTATGAAGCTTGACTTCCACAGTCAATACAAGTTGAATAAGCAGCAGTTAGTCTCTGAGGTGGTTCTGAACTTCTTGCTTGTGCCAAATTTCAAGTCAATAAAAATAATAAGAAAAAAAGGACTTGGAAATAAATATCAATATTATACATCTGAGTTCATAAAAAAAACCCCAAACATTGAATCCTGTCGAGCCTGATTATAACCACACAGAATGGCAATTCTGTAATTCAAGTGGAAAGGTGCAGCAGATAGCCTGGGGAGACAGTTTATGCCTGTTCTGCTCTCCAGTGTCCCTTGCTGCCTAGGCACCTTTCTGGTCACTGCAGGTTCAGATTGGACCTGAACCCAGAGAGCTGGGTTTTTGTTCAGGTCCGGCTCCTACCTGGCTCAGGACAGGACCTGACAAAAATTGAAGTTCACAGGATGAAATGCAGGTAATTTCAAATAGAGCAAAACTAGTTGTGGATAAGACCTCGAGTTGCTTCTGGGCCCTGTGCATTAGTCCTTCAGCTGGGGGGTTGCGTGGCAGTAGCCTTTAAATTCTGTTTAGTAGTGGTTCAGGACAGCAGTGGCTGGGGAAATCGTAAGTCCCTTCTTCCCTGAACTGCCTAGTTTCTCTCTGGTATGTTGTTTCTCCTGTGTTTCCCTTCTCCTGCTGCACTCTGTTTTTAAGGAGAGATGTGAGTTTAGAAAAGACATCTCCGCCCCTGCCAAAGCTCCTGCTGTTTTTACCCAGGCTGAGGTCAGCATCCCCTTTGCTGCCAAGGTGACTGTTGTGCTACAAAGAGGCTCGAGCACTGTGTTGCCGAGGCAGGGGAGGTGCAGAAGGAGCAAGGTCTCCTTTTTAATGCCATGGTCCCTGTGTGATAAATAACACTTTTCCTATGACCTACTGGCCAAATGATCTTTCCTCAGAGTTTGTTAGCAGGAGTCTCTGTAAAGCAGCAGATGAAACAGGAGAAATGCCAGTTTAAAGCTGTTACCTCAATCTAAACTACAAAGCAAGGGAGAAAAGATTAGAGCTGGTTCCAGCTGGAGAACTGAAGTTGTTCCCACCTTCTCAGGTGCTGGTCATGCCCCACTGGTGTTGCAGGGCTGCTAATCCTCCCAGTAGTTTAAGCTGTGAAAGCAGTATCGAGTCACAGAAAATGGTGGCACATCAGTGCAACAGTAAAGGTGTCCATCATGTCAGAGGCAGGTGGACGAGTTGGGCGAGTGGAGCTGATCCACTTTCACCGTGTCTCTTTGTAATTTATGTTCCCCTTGATCCCACATTTTTATTTTCTTCCCTCTTTTTTTTTTTCCCCCTCCAGCAAAAGCTTATAGCCCAGAATTTTACTATGACACTCCCAATCCCACCTTGAGCCAGAAGCAGTCCAAGAATTACTCTTACATCTTACAGTGGACACAGAAGGAGCCAGATGCTGTGGATCCCATCCTCAAGTACCGTCTGGAACTCCGGCAGGTAAGGTCTGCTCTTCTGGAACCTCAGCATATGCCCTTGGGAAGACATCTGTTAAGGAGGCAGTTACATCAATGTCTCCTTGCTGATTAAGAGCTGAAAGTGATGAAATTGCCCAATCTTGATGGTCCTGCACCTTCCCCAGAGAATGTAAGAGACAGGCCAAGTGCACAGGTCAGTGTTCATTTTTAGCTCTGGTGTTGGGTACGATCCAGGTCTTCCAAAGCCCTGCTGCTCCCTTTGGACTGTTCATGCTCAGTGTTTTGAATGGAGGTTTAATGGGAACAATACCCTACAGCCATCAGTAGGTATTGTAGATTTTATAGGCCAAAGATTCAAACAAGTAGTATTCCGTCCTCCTCACTCGTACAGAAAAAAGAGAATAAGCTGAAGACCAATCCAGGCAGGAACGGCAGGGAAAAATCATAGACTGTTTGTGTTACAGAAGGGCTTTCATACTGTTGCAGTAACTAAGCTATTTGGACTATATGAACTCTGCAGGGGAAGAAAAGTGGGTTTCAACGTTTCTTAGCTTGAAGAGAAATCATATTGGGTGGTGGGAGCTGGAGGGAAGAACTCAGTGAAATCTGAAGACATCACTGGTTGGAGAAGGTTAGAGAAAAGAGTTTGATGTTTTTTAAAAAGCAGATTAACTTAGCAGGATTGCCAGGTACTTTCATCCACGCTCAGCAAAGCACCTGTGTTCAACATTTTTGAAAAACGGGGACACTTAAGATTGGTGTTTCTTGGCATTCAGTGGTAGCTGGGAAGCAAATGCATTTTGCAAGAGAAAGTTTGTTTACTGTAGATAGAAAACAAAATAATTAAAAAGATTCAAGTGTCTTTTTCCTCTAGTTCTGCACAGTAGGCTCCAGTTTTATGTCTCCGTTTGATTGTGAGCTCTCTGGGGTGGGATAGCCTTTGTTTGTTACTCACACGGTGTGGAGCACGTTGTCAGTACTTAATAATAATACAAGACACAGGGGAGCCTCTAATAATGAAGGCAGTTTGTCATAGTAGCTCTTCCCTCTGAGCCAAGTTTTGCTATTATCAGCACAGCGAATCAGTGAACAAATTTGTGGGTTTTATCCTTCTCTGGTTATGTTGAGGGTTTTTTCCTTTTGCGCAGTTCTTAAAAGTAATCTTGGATCTGTTCTTCATTGAGCTTCTACTGAAAGGGATCAAGAAAAGGGAAACCCACTTTTCTTCTTTGAGTTATGACATGAAGGGAGCTGAGTGGCCATGCAAATTTAACACACCTCTCCCCCCAGTTTTGTTCATACTCCATTAGTTACTGCTGTTAATGTTTTGCAGAATCACCACACAGTTGTAATTATTGACTAATGTGTTTTAGAGGAGTGTGATATCGTGGCCCTGCTGTAGCCCAGTCTCATGTATGGGCAGGCTCTTAGAAATGGCTACAGGTCTCATCATGGTGACCTGGGTCTGAATAAGAGAGGGCAGAGGGAGGAGGAAGCAGGGGAGTTTTTTCCCACTTCTGTCAAGCACAAGCAGGAAACATTGGAAAAGTCTTTCACAGTACTGCCTCCTCCTGGCCCTCCTCCAACAAAAATACTTGCGTTTCATGGCAAGGTCCCCCCTTCCGCATGCCTTGCTGAGGTCTCACTGAGCCCTTTTCATTTCCTTGTCCCAGAGGATCACATCCCCCCTCATCTTCAGCCTGCCACTTCCTTATACTCTTGTTCTGCCTTCCTGGTGTTTTCCCTGTGATGTCTCACTTGGACTCCAAGAAGCCTCATGACATCTCCCGACCTTTCACTCCTTCCCTTGCTCCATCACCCTCTTCCATATCCTGAAGACCCTGCTGCTTTGTCGCACCTTCTTCTTTTTGCTGAGGCACCTGGGGTAAGGTTTGCGTACTTCTGTTCCATTGTTGGACTGTAAAACATAGTGACCTCACTGAATATAACCATTAAAAGCTCAAAAGCTTAAAAGTATTACTGACTGGAGAGCTCTTAAGAAAGGGGATTTGTCTGCCTGGATGCGGAGCTACTGTTTGCCTGCGCACTCTCCTCACTGGATATGCTGGCTTTCCAGGAACTAGCTGTGGTGGCAGAAAAATCCTAGAGAGCTAGGATTGAAATGGAATATTCTCCTTAGGTAAAAAGGGCCTTGCACATGGTCAGACACAACGGATTTATTGCCATCATCAAGCTGATGAAAGCTTACCCAGCCAGCCCTGGAGCTCTGCAGCCTTAGTGGTCATGGTAGGGGTTTTTCAGCACCTTAAAGGTGAACGAATGTGGCAGCAGCAGCCTGCAGTCTTGGGGCTGTGAGGGGTAGAGGGCATGGAAAGGGGAGAATTAACTCTTGCTGAGATGCCCACTGGTTGCAAGATGGTTTGCTAGTTTTCATTTCACAACCCCTGGTTTGCTCAAAGAGCTCTTGGCATATGTAATGTGAAGATCCCCAAGTAGCAGGATGGTTTGCAAGGCATCTGGGAACCCCTGAATTAGATTTGCTTGCTGCAGCTGCTGAAAATGAAGCTGGGTGAGAGTCAAAGTGCTGCTTATTAATTGGTGGCTCCTCCAACTCTTCCTGTGCAGTGGCTCCCTAAGGCTGATCATGCATTCCTGGGGGGATTGCAAGCAGTCGGGGGGAATATGGTTTCCCAAGTAATACATAGGGGCTCCCAGCAAGACAGACAAGTAGAGCTGATTGTTCCCAGCACTGTGGAGCAGGCCGAGCAGTGCAGCAGACGTACCAGTTCCAGTAGAATAAGGATTAACTTTCGATTAAAACTGCATAAGCAGCTTGACAGCTTGAAGCCACTGACCCAGGCAAAGCACATATGATAGCAACTTGAAGCAAGCTCCTTGCAAAGCCTCTGCTCTATGTCTCAGCAAAGAGGTGGTTATTTCCTGAAGGGCATTGGTCAGGGGGGCTTAGGCAGTGGCTTTGTTGAGTGCCAATTCAGAGGGGCAAACCTTCCCACTGAGGAACAGCAGGGGCCGCACAGCCTTCTGTCCTGACAGCTTGGAAGGTTTTTTTGTTTCTTGCTGCAAGGCAAGTGATCCAGATGCCAACCACCTTACTTCACCTTTACTGGTGAACTCAATGAGTTAACAGCCCTGGGTGGTTTGGTTACAGGCAGATGCCACGAGGCTTTTGGGCTATTTGTTTGGTCAGCTTTTTTTCTTCCATGTATTCTTGGAGTGTAGAAAGGCACTGAGGCACTGCACTCCAACTGAAAATGCTTTTCATTGCTTGGGGATTCAAAGCAGCCTCCCCAGACCAGATCTTTGCTTAAAAAATAAAAAGCCTTTTAAGTTGCTTTTTTCTCTCTGTGTATTTTATCCCCTCCCAGGGCTCTGCTCTAACATTACAGAGAAATGAAAAGCCATCTAATATTGCAAGCAGGTTGCATCATGGAGGAAAGATCTGAATTGGGCTGGTGGTTACAGGGGATAGTGGCGGAATTACTATGCACTTAATGAGCTAGAGCCCATCTGTGACCTGAGGCTGCAAGGGAAAGAGGAAGGAGAAGCTATTGGTACAGTAGGAAAGTTTAATCTTTATTGTGCCCCTCAAGGAGACCTGAGGCTGCTGTCTCCTCAGTACCTTCTCATACACAGTCTTGGGCCAGAACCAATCCAGCTTAACACATTCCTGCCTTTCCTCTCCTAGGAGCAGGTTCAGCTCTACCTGCCAGACAGCCCCCTGAAATTTGCACTGGGCCAAGCCCCAAACCCATTTGCTAAATTAGCTCACTGGGTTGTCACTTCAGATTAATTCCTGTCAGGGAGAGTGTCTTTAATGAGACTGGCCCTGTGCGATGCCTGAGTAATTGTATGGTCTCTCTTTGTTTGCACTTTCATCCCCTCCATGTTGGATAAACATCCCCTGCTGTCTACAAAACTCATCTGGGCTTGGGAGCCGGCTGCCACTTGCTTCATCAGCCAGCCAGAGCAGCATTAATGAGAGCTGTGGCAGTGGGGAGCCGGGCACACCGTGTGGGGAGGTGACAGATAAAAGAGCTGTTTGGACAGACATAGGACAGGGACGTTAGCAGGAATTTAATGACTGTGATTAGAGTGGAAGGTTAACTCTGCTGATGGCCATCACAACGCAGCAGGAGAGGTATTATGCCGGGGTCCATGGATTGTGGATTTGTATCACTTCATTTCTGCCTCTGAGTTGTTCTTTTTCTGTCCTCTGAGCCCATTTCGGTAGTATCTGTCAACTGCTGTCTGTCTTTGGCTTCATTAGCATGTGGCGCTGGCACTCCCTCCAAGGGCAGGGGTGTCTCTCACTTCTCTGCATGCACTGAGAAGGGCTAGTAGCTCTAGAAAGGGAAGATGTACAAGCAGTACACCAGTCTTTTCCATAAATGTTTAGTTGAAAATGCTGTTGGGTTCCAGATTAGAAAAGGCTATGATGCAGAAAGGTGATATATTTGAGCAGGTGGTGGCCCTTGCAGCAGCCCAGCCCTGTGCACTGAGAAGTGAACAAAATTCCTTTCTTCTGCACATGCAACCATGACTTCAGGCGAAGATTCTTGGGAAACCGAGCAGTGCTTTGGGAGGTTGCCTCAGGGCTGCACCTCGGGGCCAGGGAATGCCAAAGCCTCCTTAAGAAGGCAGCTCTGCCCAAGGCAGAGCAGTTCAGGGTGGCCAAATTTGCTTTACAAACAAAGGGGTTAACATTTTATTGGCTACGGAGCACAATGCTGCCATCGCCAAGGCAACTGCTGCAGACCAGATTGGGTCCATAGTCCTCATCCTGAGGCTCTCTGGGGCACTGTGACCCCACTGGTCCCATCCTGTGCATTCCCCCAGTAGTGCTGCGGTGGGGTTTTCAGCTGGGGGATGCTGCAAGAGCTGAGGAGGTGATACCTGTTTTAGGACATAGCTAAAAAGCAGACAAGGCTGTCCTACTTTTCATACTAGAAGATGAAAAACTTAAAGGATGGAGTTGTGTCTTGTAAGCTAGGGAGGGACCTGCTCTGGATAAAATGTGCCCTGTGGTGCACTGGCCTGATG